GCAAGGGGAGGAGAGTAGGAGCAGGGGGACGCTTGCAGGGCGGGACTTGGAGATCCCAAACATCCAGTAGAGAAGCAAGAGATCGATGGGTTAGGTGGCCCGCTGCTACTGGCCTCCGTTGCGTTTATTTGGTTGAGAGAATAGCCTGACTGCCGCCTCGCGATTCGCGCCGCGGATCTTCGCGGGGTGTCCCGTCCGACCGGTAACTGATATCGTTGGGCAGCCCTACAAGATAGGGCTACCTGTCTGCTCCCGTCAGTCCGGGATAGATAGATAGATAGCCCTCATTTGCCTTATCTGTGAAATGAAATGTTCCTTTTTATCTCGTCCACCGCTGTATATATGGTGCCCTGTTGATTAGTTTCCTGATTACAGTAGGATATAAACAGATTGGAGACGAATTTGTTTCCATAAATAGAAAAGGAGGTAGTTAACCCAACTCAGAGATGCTCTGGAAAAGTGTACCTGGGAGTTGGCATGATTGTTGGGAAACCGATCCTGCCTTTGTGCTGCCAAAGCCACCAAATTTCATGGGGTACAAAACTCATCCATTGGCGAGTATGTTTGCAAGATTCACGGCCCTGGTAACTTGTGCACTTACCCGGCCTGCTGCAATCATTCAGGGAACGAACGGCCGAGAGCCGCCGTGAAACGTCCCTTTCCCTGCCATTCGACCACGGCAACGAGTGATTACTTCGTTGATCTGACAACTGGACGTGGTTGGGGGTGGATTAGGACTCCATTTCTCTCTCATCAGACGCCTATCCGGTTCTCCTGAATTGTGATCCTCCCTCTCCGAACACCTTGGCACCGCGACATGGACATCACAGAGCAGAACGCCGGTTAATTTGGATTCATGGGGCTCTTTCTTGAGAAAGACGGATCCTTTTTCCACACTGCCTTTTTGAGTCGCAAGGATTGCAAAAACAATGGGGATGTCCGATTGGACTCTACATTATTTTGCTTGCACCATACAAAAAATAAGGACGCCACTAACCAGTGAACGCCAATTTTTTAGGCAATAATCCCAGCGAACGCCCTTAGGATCGTCAGATCCCGATCAAACGCATGACAGTTACTATACGCAGCGTGCCAAATTTTCTGCCACTTTTTTGTACTACATTGCAATTTTCGGGTTGGAGCATAAAAAATCCCTTACAACAACATAGCAATTTTATTTGTTTTCGCATGATAATCTGACACCCTTTTTTTAACATTTCAGAAAAACTAAGAAGTTTTTTCAAGAGGTCCGAGTGAATTAAAGATTTCCTATGAGTTGTAGTGCAATGAACTCTTTAGGAAAAATTGGTATATGATTCAATTGTACGCATCAAATAACCAACATAGGAAAAATTCTTGAGCTTTGCTAATTCTTTATAATTTGTAATATGAAAATCCTTAGAATAAAAAATGCCCTTAGTTTCCAGCTGCTAATATTAATATGTCATGCATGATCCTTTTCTTGAGTCATCTTATGCTCGAATTTTCTTGTGGTGGTCACCTAAATGTTGAGTAATGCTAGACCTACGTAGGGATTCTTACGTACTTTACGTAATTGATGATTTGTCAGTTTTTAATTCGTCATTAGTTGGGGGCACGGTCCACCCTTGAAATCAGGGGGGGCAGTTTTGATTAGCGTTTAGCAAATCACGTAGGTTACGTAAGTGCCGTTCGTAGGTGTAGCATTATTGCTAAATGTTTCACCAAAGCAAGAGCATAGAAGCAAAGCATTTCCTGCCCCATGCAGAGGGCCAAAGCATTTCTCGCCTTTTCCCTCCGTAGCGATGATTAGGCCCATGGGGCAGAGAAGAGGAGAATGGTAAGCTATAGGCCCATGCGCAAGTGAGACGATCTGCAGCTTTTGCAATGGGCCTCTTTTGCAATGGACGGTCACGATTTCCGCTCAACTGAGCACAAAGCCCACTAATCCACGAAAACCCTAGCGTCTCACGCCCGCCCCCACTATAAACTCCTCCTCCTCCCTCTCCGCCCGCTTTCCTTCTCATCTCTAGCCTGCGCCGCCGCCTCCACCGCACCCCCCAAAACCCTAGCGCTCGCTTCGCCCCGCCCCACCACCATGGCCGGCGCGCAGGAGTCCCTCGTCTACGCCGGTGTGATGCGCGGCCACAACGACGTGGTCACGGCCATCGCGACGCCCATCGACAACTCGCCCTTCATCGTCTCCTCTTCCCGCGACAAGTCGCTGCTCGTCTGGGACCTCACCAACCCCATCCAGGCCACCCAGGACTCCAGCTCCGAGTACGGCGTCCCCTTCCGCCGCCTCACCGGCCACGGCCACTTTGTCCAGGACGTCGTCCTCAGCTCCGACGGCCAGTTCGCGCTCTCCGGATCCTGGGACGGCGAGCTCCGCCTCTGGGACCTCTCCACCGGGGTCACCACCCGCCGCTTCGTCGGCCACGAGAAGGACGTCCTCTCCGTCGCCTTCTCCATTGACAACCGACAGATCGTCTCCGCGTCCCGCGACCGCACCATCAAGCTGTGGAACACCCTCGGTGAGTGCAAGTACACCATCGGCGGTGACCTTGGAGGCGGCGAGGGCCACACCGGCTGGGTGTCCTGCGTCCGTTTCTCGCCCAACAACTTCGCCCCGACCATCGTCTCGGGCTCATGGGACCGCTCCGTCAAGGTCTGGAACCTTACCAACTGCAAGCTCCGCTGCACTCTTGATGGTCATGGTGGCTATGTTAGCGCCGTTGCAGTCAGCCCAGACGGTTCGCTTTGCGCGTCTGGTGGCAAGGATGGCGTCACCTTGCTGTGGGATTTGACCGAGGGCAAGAGACTCTACTCGCTGGATGCGGGATCCATTATCAACTCACTATGCTTCTCGCCCAACCGCTACTGGCTCTGCGCGGCGACACAGGATTCCATCAAGATCTGGGATCTTGAGTCAAAGCACATCGTGCAGGACCTTAGGCCCGAGGTCCCTGTCTCCACCAAGCAGGTTTGTTTCCAATTCCCAGTATCACTCCTTATGTCCGTGTTTCTTTGATTGTTTACTATTGGTTAATATATGTAGATGTGTTGTTCGTATGATCAGCTTACCCTTGTGGCTATGTAGATCTGTTACATTTTGTGATCTGTATTTATTGTGGTAGTCTAATTTATGATTTACAACGTGTTAATTTCATGTTGTAATGATGATTTTTGCATTGGTTTCTTAACATTACCACGTAAGGGTTTTGGTTCACCACATTATATAATGCAGCTGAAAGCTTGCATAGTTATGCTATTTTGTTCTTTAAATTTGAACTGGTTGACTTAAGTTGCCAATTGATAAAGAGCTTTAATGCAAGCATAAGAATAAATAGCAGTTCACTACCAGTATTTTTCTTATTCAGGGAATGTACATGGATGTGCTTGTTCTGTTGGTTATTTTTCATACATTGATATGAAATGTTTTTGTTCATCTTCCATGGTGCCTCCTGCCCATCTATGTTAAGGCTGCATTGTATTGTCAAGTGAGTTATATAGGAAGCACAGGTATTTGGTGTGCATTTGTTCTAATGCATAGCTAAATAGACCGATTCTGTTTTTATGAACTATCGTCTGTTGAGTGGCTTCTTAATATGGTTCATACTGTTTGCCCAGATGCTCTACTGCACTTGCTTGAGCTGGAGCGCGGATGGCAGCACTCTGTACGCTGGTTACACCGATGGAACTATCCGCATCTACAAGATCTCGGGGTTCAGCTACTCTAGCTAGATTATGTATCTTGTTTTAGTGGCCTCTGTTCTGGTAAAACGGCTGTGGTATCTTCTTTTTTTTGACTGTCTTGAGGCGTAATATCTGCCTTGGTACTTCTGCTTAATTTACTATCTGTGTCTTAGCCGCAGTCATGATCTCATGGATAATGCATCGTTTGTTGGTTTTGGCTGTTCAATATATTGTCAAGTGAATCATGGAACCAGTAAATTGTTGCTTGTTATGTCGAAGGATTTTCTAAGAATGATGTCGATTGACCTGCAAGATCCTGTGATCTAACGTGAGTCCCTGATGCTGTATGAACTCTGAATTGCCGCCTGATGTTAATTATGTGGTCGTTGTTGTGCATCCGCTTTAGTGCTAGGTTCTAGTACCACTCAAAAGATTTTGCTTAGCTGTGCGTTAAAAGGAGCGCATACGATCCGCAACTGCGTAGAACGCCGCTCTGCTCCACTGGAGGCCAACTCCGCACGACTGGTGCCTGGAGCAAATAAAAAAAAACTGAAATAGGCCGCGGCCATAGCGGCAAAGAATTCATGCCGG